CCAATTACTTTATTACTTATCTTGAAAGGTAATCTTAAAGGAATTATAAACCTAGGCTTTTATATATGAAAAAGAATCAGTCATCTCTACTTTAAATCTTTAGGGTGCATACCCACTCATCAGGAGATTGAGGGCAGAAATGGGTATAAGGAGTTAATCATCACCCTTTGGTCATCAACCAATCCTAGCAAGATAGGCGAGTCAGCTAATGATAATTGGGCTGCTTTGTTCTTGTTCCCTGACCTTAAAGAATTGTGCACTCAACTATGTGCCTTTCTAAAAGTTTAGATTATCTTCTTGCATTTTTCACTTCAAAGCTATTTGACAAAAACATCTTAGTCTAACTTTAAATTATTTTCAGAGCTTTGTTTCAGCTGTGATGCACTCCGAAAGCTGTGAACACATCTCCCAACATTGGTTAAAAGAATTTAAGCTAGCTGGGCTAACTGGGACTCAATTGTTTTTCTTAATCATTAACCTAAGCCACAGTCTATAAGGCTCCTCAATAGAAACTCATGTGTTGTAGCAGTGTGACACTTCCTTGTTTATATTTTTAATCATCAAAACTCTATTTAACATTATTATTATCAATTAGATGGTACAGCTATGAATCATCTTCATAATAATCCACAGGTAAAAATGTCCTGTAGAATGGGATGTTTCCATGAGATAAACACACTACATTACAGGCAGTGTGGATCTCCCCACACCCATTCACACCATGCCAGATACCAGAGGAAGATGGCAGGGGCAAACATGTAAAGGCACAGGAAAAGTAAAAGACACTCTGGGGTCTGTGGTCTCAGAGCCTTGCCTATCTGAGATTCGCCCATCAGGGATTTTCCTCCTGGTGAACTGAGGCCCTGAAGTCAACTGCCACCTGCTGCTCCTCTGTCATGGCCACTGGCAGTCCAGAAGGGTCTTGTCTAAGGAGGATGGCTCAGGCCCCAGGACTGGCTTTGTGCTTTCCATCTTCTCAGAGGGAAGGCTTTTACTGTATCACTCACATCACTCTCATTAATAAATCAGAAGACACATGGAATGCCCATTGTGCATAAGCATTTCTAATTCTCTCAGTGTATTATTTCACTCAGCGATGTCCATCTGAACGGTGTTACTGTTCTCATGTTACAGCTTAAGGAGAGAAAACTGAGACAGGGTTGACATCACTGTTATAGAGAGAAGAGCCTGGATGTGAAGCCAGGAATGCCTTTCTACAGGAGTCTGGCTCCTTAATCTTGGTCACCGGTAGAGGCCCCGAATGAAAGGTTGTCAGAGTCTAGACTACAGACCCAACACCTCAAACAGGCACTGGCTCCAGGATGTAGTCCGGATCCCACAGGAAGAGCTCTCAATTCCGACCACTCACACTTGCCCTCTAGTTGATGTTTAGCTTCAGTCTTACAGGGGTGGACCTGTACCAGCCCTATTGTGCTATCTTTAAAGGTGGTTTTTTTTTTTTTTTTTTTTTTTTTTTTTTTTTTTTTTTTTTTTTTTTTTTTTTTTTCGAGACAGGGTTTCTCTGTGTAGCTTTGTGCCTTTCCTGGATCTCGCTCTGTAGACCAGGCTGGCCTCGAACTCACAGAAATCCACCTGGCTCTGCCTCCCGAGTGCTGGGATTAAAGGCATGTGCCACCACCGCCCGGCTCTTTAAAGGTTTTTTAGAAGATGTATTTATTTTTATTTTTATGTGTATGAGTTTATCTGCATGTATGCATATACACTATGTGAGTCCCTGGTACCCATGGAGGCCAGGAGGAGGCATCAGATCCCCTGGCACTAGAGTTACAGGAGCCATTGTGTGGGTGCTAGAAACCCAGCCCAGGTCCTCTGAAAAAGCATCAAGTGTTCGTAACTGCCGAGCCACCTCTTCAGCCCCATTCCTTGCTGTGCTCTCATTCATGTGTGATCTTCATGTTCTAGGTAACATGTCTTTTCCTGATCAGTGCCAAGATTTCAGGTCACATAACGCCAGCTAAGCTTTGTCAACACACACAACAAAACTTGGCAAGGCCTAACTTGCTTGGCCGGTAGACAGACAATGAAAGACTTTTAGACTTGGCCTCTCACTCACATCTTCAGATGAAGGGTGCACAAAGGTATCGGGCAGCTTCGTGGGGTTTTGTTCTGTTCTTTTCTTTTTTGGTTTTTTGAGAGAGGGTTTCTCTGTGTGGCCCGGGCTGTCCTGGAACTCAGTTTGTAGAGCAGGCTGGCCTCACCTAGATCTATCCGCCTCTGCCTGCTGAGTGCCGAGACTAAAGGTGTGGGTCACCATGCTCGGTGCCTCTCAGGGTTCTTGCCCTGCACACTGACACAGACAATACTGAAACAAAAGGGAGATGTGAGTTATGGGACACCTCATCCCTGAACAGCCAGGGACCACACTAGACAGTTTTTATACTCTTGGCAAGGGAGACAGAAAGCCACGTAGGCCAGAGGACACTGCAGGGAGAGAAGCATCTTGTGAAGTTTCCCAGGGGAAACTGCCAGGAACTCCTCCACCTCACAAACCTCCTACCCTCTCTACTAAGACCCAGATAAGCTCTGGCTGGGCCCTTTGCTCTGTAGCTGTGTGGGTGCCGGTGATGGTGCCAAGATGCTGTACTGAAGACAATGTCCTACGGCCTCATCAGAATCTGAGGGTTGTCTACAAGCCTAATTACCTTTGGTGGGAGGGGAGGCTTGAGGCTGGATCTCTCTCTCACTCTGCTGCAGGCCTTTCTATATACACCAGGCTGGCCCCCTCTCACTGTTTGAGACAGGGTCTCACTCTGCAGCAGGCCTTTCTGTGTACACCAGGCTGGCCCCCTCTCACTGTTTGAGACAGGGTCTCACTGTGCAGCAGGTTTTTCTGTGTACACCAGGCTGGCCCCCTCTCAGTTTGAGACAGGGTCTCACTCTGCTGCAGGCTTTTCTGTGTACACCAGGCTGGCCCCCTCTCACTGTTTGAGACAGGGTCTCACTCTGCAGCAGGTTTTTCTGTGTACACCAGGCTGGACCCTCTCACTGTAACCTCATACTCAGAGCAGTCCTCCTGTCTGGCTTCCCAGGAGCTGAGCTGCAGGTTCGAGCCACCACACCTGCTGCTAAGCGCACACTCTACCACTGAGTTCCTTTCGTAAGTGAGAGTTTGTTTGTTCCTCTTAACCGCGGTAGAGAAGAGAGAAAATAAACAACTGAAAACTCCGAGTCTGGCTCCCTCTCATTAAGTGGCCCAGACAGGTCCTGAACTTACAATCCTCCTGCCTCAACTTTCTGAGTACTGGGATTACCAGCCTGTACTACCAGGCCTGTCTTCTAACTGCACAAAAGTCAGGAAATTTGTCCTTTTTCCCTCACTCTTTGTGGGCCCAGGTTTTAGAATAGTGTCAGCACATAGTAGAGAATCCATGAGTGTGAAGGAAGTACAAGACAGCTCATAGTATTCTGATAATGAATTGGGTGTTAAAGTCTTAAAACCTGCTCTCAGGTCAGAAATTTCCTAAGGGATACTTAGAGAAAACCTCTGTCCATCCTTTCAGGGAGCTCAACATCAAAAAACTCAACATTAAAAAACTCATTTAGCCTTAAGGTGGGTCAGTACACACTGTGCAGTGGGACATGGTGCCTTGGGTCATTAGTGCCATTACAGTAGTCCCAATGACACTCAACTCCCACACACAATAGTAACAGAATGGGGGGGGGGGCTCGGCTTCTCCACCGATCTGGTCTCCTCCTCCTCCTTTCCCACTTATCTTTACCCTTAGCTAATGTGTGGTGTAGATTAGGAAAGAAATTATGGGTCAAGGGACCTGCCTCCGACTATAACAGCCACCCTTGGGCCTTATTTCTCCATTTCTAATGTATCAATATCATAGACATTGTTCTCTTTCATTGCAACTAAATGACAATGTTGTTACCTGTTTTACAGAGTGGACCCTGGCCCCAAAAAAGACTGAATGGCTTACTGAAATCTTTTACATTAAAGACAAATGTCTCTATCCAAATTCAGGTTTTTTTCCATCATAACTGTGTAATGCTGTTGTCTCCAAAGCCGTAGCCTCTGTCATCTCAAAAAGGCAGGAATTTTTACCTTTTGGCTTCCTGCTTTTGTGTATGTGTGTGTGTGTGTGTGTGTGTGTGTGAGAGAGAGAGAGAGAGAGAGAGAGAGAGACAGAGAGACAGAGAGAGACAGAGACAGAGAGAGACAGACAGACAGACAGACACACAGAGGCAGAAAGCAGAGAGGCAGAGACAGAGAAACAGAGAGAGCACGCTCTATGCAGAGGTTGAATGACATCCAGAGGGAGCCGGTTTTCTCCTTCGGAAACCTTGTGGGTCCCAGAGATTGAACTCAAGTCTCCCGGCTTGGTGGCCAGTGCCTGTACTTGCTGAGCCACCTCACCAGCCTGTAAACAGGAGTTATCTACTTTGAGTTGGCAACGTCGATATGTTGACGGTATGATGGGGTGAATACTCGCTGATTGAGCAAGTCCCTGCCATCACCTTCTCTGGGTTTTTCCTCTGGTCCGGCAATCTACTTGACGCACCTCCTCCGGCCGCGCGGTGGCGCTGTGGGGCCCGGTCGCGCGCAGTGGCGAGCGTCATCCTTCTTGGTCCGGCCGCTAGCCTTCCCCCGTCGGAGGGCGGGGCTCCAGGAACCGGAAGTGCCGAGGCCTCTGCCGCCGTCTCGGTCGCCGCCGCCTTTAAGCCCCTTCGTCCGCCGCCTGGGTGCCGCCGGTGCCGCCGCCGAGGAAGCTGCTGTGGCCCAGACGGGAGCGGAGGCGGCGCGGCATGAAGCGGCGTAGGCCCGCTCCATAGCGCGTCGGGACGGTTCGGGCGGGCCCGGGGGAAGGTGCAGTATCCGCCCGCTCTCCCTCCCCTGCGCCCGCGAGGCCGCGGTGCTCCGGCCGGGCCGCCCTCGGGCCGCTCCCGTGGGGCAGAGCGGGTGGCTGGGCCCCGCTAGCCGGAAGAGGAAGCGCAGACTCGGATTGCGAGGCCGCCAACGTTCGCTAGGCGCCCCTGAACGCTGGCCGCTGCCCGCTCGGACTCGCACGTCCGTTATCTTGATAGCGCCTGGCTCGGGTTGGGATGCCGGGGACGGTCCGGGCTTACGGAGGAGGAAACGGAAGTCTGCCAAGGCGAAGGGGTTCGCCTGAGGTCCGCCCGTGGCGGATGGGATTCGCCCTCGGACTCGCTGCTTCTCCCCAGCCGGTGTTCCTCCCTCCCTCCTGCTTCACTCTAGATCCATTCCTCCGCGCTCGCTGTCTCGCTGCCATTCTGTTCCACCCATCCATTCGCAGCAGGGTCCTTGCCCTTCCTGTCCAGCTTCCTCATCCTCTTTATACTAAGCCTTGGTGTTCCTACTGTCCTTCCTCGCCATATTCCCTACCACACCCCTCCTCCTTCCTCATTCATAGCTTTCAGGCTCTTTGCCTCTGATAAACTTTCTCAGTTGTAGACGCCGAAGTGAGAAATAACTAGGCTCCAGTGAGGTGTGCACAGTTTGGACGACTGATTGGCCCTTACCGTAAAAACTATGGGATGCCATTTCAGTGGACCACACCCCAAGAACCCCAAAGCTCTTTTAACCCAACATACCCATTCTTGGAGTCAGAGGCTTTGCACTTCGAGACGGTTTCTTGACTCACAGTCTGTTGCTATCTGGCATTATTTTTTACCCTCCTATTGCCACATAGCTTTTCAAACCTTTCCATCACCTATGTGGAATGGGGAGCTTGGAGTCTAAACTATTAACAAATGAGATGTAATCACACACAATTCTAAGCTAGATTTATCAACCAGCTTAGTGATTATTTTTCCAGAAAAGCTACCCATCTCACTTGGAAAAGAAGGCCAAAAATGGGATGCGCTTAAAATGAATAGGGCATCCTCTACCGTGTCAAGAATTCTAGCTGAGTATGGTGGTACATAGGTGTAACCCCAGCATTTGGGAAGCTGAGGCAAGAGGATGTTGAGTTCAAGGCCAATCTTGGCTACAGAGTAAGACCCTGACAAATTAACACAATTTAGATGATTAAATTCAAGTTCCCTTTCTGCAAAAGAAAAAAAAATGCCTATAATGCACATTTTTTTACTGTACTGAATTTATTCTCTCACCAACTCAATATGACATCATATAAAAGGAACATAGGCACATAGAAATAAATATCTTTGTGTGTGTGTGTGTGTGCTTGTGGCTCTACACACACGTCTTGGGGATCGTGTGGAAGTCGGAGGATAACTTGGGAGTCCGTTCTCCCACACTACACTTTGTTGAGGCCGAGTCTCAATTGCTGCATACTCCAGGCTAGCTGACCCTCCAGCCTGGGCCCATTCTACCTACTCCTCCCTTACCACATTAGGGCTGCTGGCTTTACCGATTCGCCAACGCTTCACTGGCTTTCAGGGGATTCTCAGGCTTCTGCCGCAAGTGCTTTTCTCTTTTAAGCACTTCCCTGGCCCTAGAAATAAATTATATCTGCCACTCTCAAGGCCTTACAACTGGCACCTCACATCTATTTTCAGTTTATCATTATTTTCAATTGTGGCGTGTGTGTGTGTGTGTATGTACATGTGAGTGCAGTTCCTGTAGAAAACAGGTGTTGGATTCCCCCTTAGAACTGGTCTTGGAGGAGTTTGCGAGCAGCCGGAAATGGGTGCAGGGAACCGAACTTGGGGCCTCTGCACTAGCATTGCTTGCTCTTAACCACTCAAGCCATCTCCAGCCCACTTAAGCAGTTTTTCAAGCCCTTCTATAATTTCCCCTTTAATTTAGTGTCTGGGCGTCAAGATTTACATTGTTGTTAGGACTTAACTCCTCAATTTGAGCCATGCATTTCTGGAAAAAGTAATTTTAGGGCTGGAATTGTTAGCAAAGGTCTATAAGTTCAGCACTCAGGAGATTGAAGCAAGAGGACTGAGAATTCAAGACCTGCCTGGGATTTGAAAGACCTATCCAGAAAAAAAAGTATTACATATATCTGTATACTCATACACACAAACATGGTTTTGATAAATTGGAGACCCAAAATAATTCAGGCATTACATGTTACACTGAAAGGAAATCTATCTGTTAAAGACCATTTGGGGGTTTGGGGCTTTCTTTTTGGCCATATATGGTCTATTTTAATGATCAACAATCTCTTATCTGGAAGCAGGATTGGATGGTGAGAAAAGGAAAGATTCCTGTGAGAAGAGATCAGGATGAACGGAGAGCTCTGTGTTTAAAGTTGGGCCAGGTGAAAATGATCTCTTTGAAAGTAGAGATCTGAGCAGATGAAAATACAACCAGGTAGGCACCAGGGAAAGGCCCACAGGTGAAGAGGTTGGTGGGGCAGTGAAATACATGCACTGTGCTGGGAATGGATTGGATCCTGTTTGAGAAAATTTAGGCCATGTGTTTTGAGAATGTATTTGTATATAGTGTCACGGAATTCTGGAATTTAGTTACACATTTGTGCAAATTGCACAATATGTATTGTAGAAAGGACAGAATAAATATTTGCTGTGAACAGAGTGGCAGGATGTCATTTGAACTATACAGTGTGTATATATGTGGAGACAAATAGCACAATCCATTCAGAAATTCCCAGTTTTTAAATAGGAGCTGATGTGAGTTTTTACAAAGAAGGATTCTAAAGTTAGTAATGACTCCAGCTGAGCAATAAGGCTCCGGAAGTCTGTACTGAGCTGTTCTGTTCCTCAGCCTTGTACTTGCAATGGATGGAGTGGAGATGGGATTTCACACATGAGAGAACTGAGTCAGATTAGCGTAGATTCTTTTTAGTTCCTTGCTCCATCAGAAAACTAGGTCCTTTGACATACTCTTGATTGAAAATAGGCCTCCACTAGCTTCAGGTGGCCCAACAGCCACTACTCCCACATACTGCCACTTGAAACTCCGAGTCCCAGTGGATCTAAAAGCTCAGTTCTCTGCCGGATTTTCATTAGTGGAGCCTTGGCTACCCAATGATGAGAGTGTTATCTGATGTAACAGTATTTGGACAACTCTGCTTTGTCACTGTTCTATTAGAAGTGACAGTATCATGCACTGTGACAAGGAAAACTGTGCCATGTCCCATGTGCACAGTTCCGCACTGTTGCGTACCAGTGATACAAATGAGATGGACCGACTCACAGCCCACACCTTCGGTAACTTGCTAGAGGGAAGGTAACTTCTTAGCATGGATTGATGTTAACCTGCAAAGCTGAGCTTTAAAAGAACGACATCATCTTAAGTACACAGCCATGTATTGATTGTTGAAGTAGTTAATGATTATGTAAAACATGGTTACCTAAGTAGTTTGCTTTCTTTTGTGGAACTGGGATTGAACTCACCACTGAGCTACATCTCTACATGGTTCTATGACAGCTTTTTTGTTGTGGTTAGTTTCCTGTGATACTCTGCTCATGTTAGTTTAAATATCAGAAAAGATCAAGGTGGAAAATTTGGGTTTGTAAAATAAGTACAGTCAGTTCTCAAAGCTCTTAAATAATTATAGTGTTGAACTGGTAAATTGGGTTCGGACTTATAAAATGCTGATGTGAACACCATATGTTTTCATTAACTGCTTTGACTAATTAAAGCCACTTAAAGGTAGTATATTTTTCTTTTTTGAACAGGATAGAAGTTACATAATCAGGAAGGCTAGTCTTGCAATCATCAGTAAAAAATTAAGTACTTGATATTGTCTAGAGAAGAGCAAAAGGTTTAGAATGTATCAATCTGTAAGTGTTTAGTTGTTTGGAGTCCTTCCCTGCAAGAGAAAACATTGTATTTTCTCAGGTTACTGCCCTAGTCATAAGTTCATTGTTTGTAGCAATGTTGTTACTATTCTAATTTGTTACACTTTAGAAACAGCAATCAGCATTTGTTAGAAGTGTTAACTTTTTAGAATGCAAAAACACTTACCTCCCTTGGCACATAGCTTCGGGATTGACATGCTCTGGGTGGAATGTAGCAGCCAACTGGCACATGGCCTGTTTCCTTCCAGTGTGGGAAAGGAAAAGGAATTTTGGCAAGAGATACCCAAAGGAGAGCCTTTTATAAAAACTTCCCGGAGGGATTTATAGTCACTGTGAAATTGACATGACCTCAATTTTTAAAAAAAAAAAAAATCTTTTTGGAACTGAGCACAGAGGTGGGGGTGGGGGACACCACTATTGCTTTTCTTATCAGGTTTCATTGCAGCTGTGTTGAAAGGCTTGTTACTTGTTTGTTTGTTTGGGGTTTGGGCCCTATCGTTGTGACAATGTAACGGAAGACATCCCTGTGAATGGCTTCTTGTATTGTGTTTTCCCAGGAAAATGCAACATGGCAGCAGCAATGGAAACAGAACAGCTGGGTGTTGAGATATTTGAAACTGCAGAGTGTGAGGAGGGAACTGTTGAATCACAGGATCGACCTAAACTGGAGCCGTTTTATGTCGAACGATATTCTTGGAGTCAGCTAAAAAAGCTGCTTGCTGATACCAGAAAATATCATGGCTACATGATGGCTAAGGCACCTCATGATTTTATGTTTGTGAAGAGGACGGATCCAGATGGTCCTCACTCAGACAGGGTCTATTATCTTGGTGAGTATGAAGTTGCACTTTCAGAGAGGAGGCGTTTTCTCAAGTCAGAACTAACTGTAATTCACTCAATTTCAGTAGTAAGCAAATATGAGGCTTGTTTCCTTTAAAGGAAAAAAAATCACTTTTAATTTGAAGAACTTCTGTTCAGTGGATATATTAATTTTGATTCATCTCATTAGCTATATTTTGACTTACAGGCAACAGATAATTGACCATGATCTTTTTGACAAAGTCAAATTTAAGCCAAGAATTGATTCTTCCTAAAGCTAGTTTGAAATGCCTTTCCTTGAGAAGGGTCAAATAAGGACAAACTGTCCACCCTTCAGCATGTTTCCATTCTCAGCACCTGCAGCTCCCATCATTTTAAACCAAGCCTCGGTCTCTTCTGCCCACGTTTAAGATCTGTCTAAATTGGCCGGGCAGTGGTGGCGCACACATTTAATCCCAGCACTCAGGAGTCAGAGGCAGGCAGATCTCTGTGAGTTCGAGGCCAGCCTGGTCTCCAAAGCAAGTTCCAGGAAAGGCGCAAAGCTACACAGAGAAACCCTGTCTTGGAAAAAAAAAAAAAAAAAAAAATCTGTCTAAGTTAAATATAGTAGTCCACTGTTTTAATGGTTTGAACTCAAGGCCCTGTGCATGTTAAGGACACACATCCCACCACTGAGTTACACAATAGCCTCTTTGAGCATTCACTCCCACCCCCCTTTGCCTCCTGTATGTTGTAATTACAGACGTGTGTCATTATGTCCAGCTCCTAATTCTCTTTAAAAAATTCTATTAAATTTATTTGTGTATGTGCGTGCACACATGTGCATGTGCACGCACATACCACAGCACTCATGTGGACGTCAGAGGGCTCCTGTGGGAGTTAGTTCTGTCCTTCTTCCATGGGGCTCTCAGAACATTGAACTCAAACCGGCCGGCTTGGCAGCAGGTGCCTTTCCCTCCTGAGTCATCTGGATGACCTCTCCTAAATTACTTTTCTGTTTTAAAAATAGGTTCCCACTGGATGTGGTGGTACACTCTGTAATGTCAGCACACAGAAGAGACTTCTGCAGGAGGTTCACAAGTTCAAAGGCAGCCTGGGCTACAAATAGCAGGTCCCTGCCTCAAAAGAAGTTCCCTCCTTCCGAGTTGCTGCCCATTTAAGTTTCAGTCATTCATTAGCATTACGTGTGTGTGAGACATTTTCTAGGGAGTCCACAGCATGATTGAAGATTGGTTCTTTTTAACTTTCAGAATATTCTAGTGTATAATCATATACTAGATACATTAAACTTCACCAGGCCCCTCATAATGTGTGTGTGTGTGTGTGTGTGTGTGTGTGTGTGAGAGAGAGAGAGAGAGAGAGAGAGAGAGAGAGAGAGAGAGAGAGAGAGAGAACAGGGCTACTTTTAATGAAAAGTCGAGGCAGTAACTGTCACTGTATTAGTCATTCCTGAAAGTGGAATTGCTTGAACCAAGTGTATATTCTGAATTTTTATTGATACTGCTGAATGTCTCCTATAAAGAGGCTGTAGAGTTTATATTTCCATAAACATTGTCTCTATAAGATCTCTAACTCACTGTGTAACAGATGCTGGCCTTGAACTCCTGACCCTCCTGCCTCCACCTCCCACATACTGAAATTACAGTGGAATACCACCATAACAGTTATGGTACTTTTTTTTTTTTTTTTTTTAAATCAGGGTCTCACTATGCAGACCTTGTGAAACCAGGCCAGGTCTTACCTGGCTGGCCTTGAACTGAAGGTGAAGAGATCTGCCTGTTTCTTCCTCCTCCTTCCAAGTGCTGGGATTAAAGACATGTGCCACCACACCAGCCCAATTGTGAATCTTTTTTTGTTTTTCTCTTTCTCTGTGTAGCAAAGATCTGCCTACTTCTGCTTCCTGGGTGCTGGGATTAAAGATGTGAGCTACTACCACCCAGCTAGTACACTTTTATTTGATACTCCAAAGATGTTGTACAATCACAGAACTTTTATAATGAAAAAAAAAACTGGAATTAAGTTGAATTTTTTTTTGTTTCTAAGTACAATTTAGATAATTAAGAAAATAAAGTTATGAAAGGAGAAATTTTCTAATCTGAAAATCTCAACTGAAATCTCATCTGTTATTTACCAAAACTAACAACAAAATAAAAAAATGAGTTGTTTTAATTCTTATGTTGTCTTATATGCTTTGATAAGTTCTGTCTTTAGATGAACTAAGATCTGAGTATCAAGGCTGGAGTGATGACTCAGTCATCTGACTTAAGTGAGGTTAGGAGTACTTGCTGCTTTTCTGTAGAACCCAGGTTCAGTTCATAGTACCCACATCGCCAGGTGCTTCACACCCTCCTAGAAGCTCCAGGGATTTTGTTGAACACCTACACACATGTGGTATACATTTATGCATACACACATGTATGAGTGTGCCCATATGCTCATACACACACATATAAAAATCTTAAAAGAAGTTTTAATATCAGCGCAAAGCATTTTTTTTTTTTTTTGTGACACTTTGGGGAGTTGTTTTTATGTTTACCTCTTGCCTAGTTTTTTGACTTCCATCTGCACAAACTGGCCTCTCACAATCCTGAGACTTTGTAGAGCTGAGACTGTAGACGTGTGCCCTGACACCATAGAACCTTTGTGAGCTGGTTGTTCTTTTCCTTACTTAGTGTTTTTGAGACAAGGTTTCAGTTAGCCCAGGTTGGCCTCAAACTCCAGATTCTCCGGCCTCTATCTCCTGAGCTCTGGGACTGCAGGTGATTGCTGCCATGCCCAGCTTGAAACATTGCTTATATTCAAGAAAATTTCCAAGGCATAAAGCATGTGCACACCCTACTTACTAACATTATTTTGGTTCCCGTTGAATGGAAACACTGTTAATATGTAGAAGACGTTGTGTATTTGTGACTGTTATTGTAGTAAGGACAGTATTACAGAGTGGTAATATGTGTGGGTTTGTTTCCCCCCCTTGTAGCCATGTCTGGTGAGAACAGAGAAAACACACTATTTTATTCTGAAATCCCTAAAACCATCAACAAAGCAGCAGTCTTAATGCTTTCTTGGAAGCCTCTTTTGGACCTTTTTCAGGTTGGAACAAATATTCTTGTTTCTATGATTTAGTATATATTTCTTCATTTATTTCAGGGCAAAAATTTATCTAGGCCTTAAATGAAAAAGAATTAAAATATTTCATTACTTTTACATGTGTGAACTTTAAATTAACCAGTTCTCTGTATCTAAAACTATAGGATATTACAATCCAAGTTTCTGGTGTTTTGTTTCACTTATTTTAAACATTTTAGATTCCTTTTAGTTTGGGGGAATGAATGCTTGCCTGTATGTATGTCTGTACCATGTGCATGACTGGTACCGTAGGTGACAGAAGATGGCGTTGGACCCTTGGAGCTGGAGTTACAGATAGTGGGAGCCATCTGATGTGGGTATTGGGAATCAAACTCAGGTCCCGGAAGAACAACAAAGGTTCTTAAACACTGAGCCATCTCTCCAGCCCTATTTTGTTTGTTTTTTGAAATAAGGTCTCGCTGTATATCCCTGGCTGGCCTTGAAGCTCCCATGTAAACCAGGTTGGCCTCAAACTTCTGGTAATCCTCTCATCTCTGCCTTCTGAAACTTGGTACACGCCTGTAATCCCAGTACTTGGGAGGTATGGAGGTAGAAAGGTCAGAAGATCAAGAGTTTGAGGCTAGCCAGTACCCCACCACACACACTCACAACAGTCTGTTCTCTTGGCTTGCCTAGAGCATGCTGGCTGCTATATTCAGTCCCTACCAAAGTAGCTGGAGAGATCCCTGCTCTACAACTAACTGTATGCAAAACTACTGAATTATGCTTGGACTGTTAGGGCCTTGACTACTAAGATGATGGATTTTATTCTTGTTTTCTAACATATACAACAGTGATTAAATGGTTCTTCACTCAATTTCAGGAGAGTTTCTGAAATTAATCTGCTTAGAGTAGCTGGTAACTTCTGAGTCATTCAGGGCACAGACTTAAGCACTGGAGAGGTGCTAGAGTTTCAGCGAATTGCGAAGACCAGTTCTCAGAAGACTGGGATGGATGACTTTCCTTTTTTCTTAGGCGACACTAGACTATGGGATGTATTCTCGAGAGGAAGAGCTCCTCAGAGAAAGAAAGCGCATCGGAACCGTGGGAATCGCAGCTTACGATTATCACCCAGGAAGTGGAACATTCTTGTTTCAAGCTGGTAGTGGAATTTACCATATCAAAGATGGAGGCCCACATGGATTTACGGTAAGTTGCAGTTACTGTGTGTTAACTGTTTTGGGGTCCTAAAGAGAATTTGTACCCAAACCAGAAAGGAAATTAGCAAGTAAAGCAAAAGAGTCAGTTTAACCACCAGCTAAGAAATTAATACTAGTTTTTAATTTTAAGAGTTGATAGTTTGGAACTGGTAAGAACGGCTAGGCAGTTAAAAACACTAGCTGTTCTTCCAGAGGACCAGGTTCCATTTCCAGCATCCACATGGTGGATCACAGTTCCAGGAGATCTAATACCCTCCTCTGGCCTCTATGAGCACTAGGCATGCAAGTGGTACACAAATGCACGCAGGCAAAACACCCATACACATAAAGTAAACAAAAATAAAATCTTAAGACAAACGAAAAACAGATGGGCACTGTAGAAATGGCAGTTCAGTTCCCAGCACCCGAATCAGACAGCTCACAGCTGCCTGTAACTCCAGCTCTAGGGCTCCCCCTGGCTTCTGTGGGTGCCTGCATTCACATGTACATAAACATAGACACAAATAATTAAAAATGTTAAAAAAAATAAAAATTTTTAAAAGGCTGGTAGCTTTCCCAATGACATAAAGATACAATTTTTTAAAATTTTATTTTATTTCTCAGGTTATTGTCTGGGGGAGAGGTGTGTGAGTGCAGGTGCTCTCAGAGGCTGGAGTTGTAGATCCCCTGGAGCTGGAGTGGCAGGCAGTTGTGAGCTGTCTGATATGCATGCTGGGAACTGAACCTGGCTCCTCAGCAAGAGCAGTGTATGCTCTTCAGCTCCAAGATACAAGTTTTAAAATGCTCAAAATCTTTTCTGTGTTGGGAGATACAGAAAATAGCATTAATTTCCATTTTCTTTAAGTGCTGAGGGAGATTTTGAAAGATGTTATCACAGGGTGTTTTATTTTTTGGTTTCCCTAAGTATTTTAATACATTTCAAATATTAAGCTAATTATTTTAATAAATTAATTTATATTTGGTTTTATTCTAAGTAGTTCTTTATGAACTATTGGAGCTATTCTTTTGGTAGAACTATATTGGTGTTAGTTATCATTACATTAACATTTTTGGGAAGGTCTAGAGAGATGGCTCAGTGATTGAAGAGCACCAAATGTTCTTTTAGAGGGCCCACGTTCAGTTCCCAGAACCCACGTGACAGCTCACAGTTGTGTGTAACCCTAGTTCCAGGGGATATAATGCTCATTTCTGGCCTCATCAGGCACCAGACACATGTGTGGTGCACATACGTGTGCAGACAACACACCCATATACATAAATGAAAATAAAACTTTTTAAAAAGTTAATTTTCCATTTATTTATTTAGTGTGCATGCGTGTATGTATGCATGCCACAGGGTGTGTGTGTAGGTCAGAGGACAACTTGTAGTACTCTGTTCTCTTTTTCCACCATGTAGGACCCAGGGATTGAACTCAGGTTGTTTGTCTTAGCAGCAGGAGTCTTTACCTGCTGAGCCATCTTGCTATGCATGCCTCATTATGTTTTTTTGTTTTGTTTTTGTGTTTTAATGAGCAAACTTACTTTTATTGGTAAAATTAATGTTTAAATGTTTAATGATTTGTTCAAAATTGTGTTTGAAAATATTCAACAAGAGCCGGGTGGTGGTGGGACACATGCCTTTAATCTCAGCACTTGGGAGGCAGAGGCAGGTGGATCTCTGTGAGTTCGAGGCCAGCCTGGTCTACAAAGTGAGATCCAGGACAGGCACCAAAACTACACAGAGAAA